CACTGCTATTTTCTTCCCATCCTCTCCATCTGCAAGGGTCTCTTACAAATGTAAATTACATCTTGTTTTTCCTTTGTTTAAAACCCTCAGCGGAATGAAATCGAAACCCCTTACACAGACTTGCAAGACCCTGCCAGCCTCTAGCTCCCTCCCTGCCTCCTGTTCCCTTCCCATTTTCACTCCTCCCTCCGAGGCATAGGATTTTTTGTTCCTCTTTGTTCCTCTGCCTACATGCTCTTCCTTCTGATTTTTTTTTATCAACATGGTTGCCTTTTCTTGTCTTCAGACTTCAGTTAAAATGTCACCTTCTCCAAAGGCCTTCCCCACCCACCCATTCAAAAGCAGCCTCCCTCTCTGTTGTGTTGCTTTACTTTATTACCGTCTAAAATGCTCTGCAAAGCACTTAGCAGGATCTTTTACTTTTGTTGGTTGTCTAGACTCTGGTGTGTCACGTCACAGGCTCTCAGGACAGGTGTGTTTGGAACACCGAGTTCAGTGGTAGCCGCCCCTGCAGGACATACTGATGTTCAGAGAGAGTTTGGGCCTGAGATGTAGGTTTTATTCTTTGTTGTGGTTCCTTGGAAAGGGGTGCAGGTAACCTATATGTGTTGTAAGTGAAGTTCAGGGAGATTAGAGCATGCTTTCACAATTAAGAGCCTACTTCAGCCATTAAATCCTTCTTCTGATGGGAGGGTGGGTGGGTGATGGGAGATCTGGGGAAAGCACAGGGAACCCTGGCAGAATCTGGCCAAAGCTTTACACAAGACATTTTTAAACCATGGAACTTCTGAAAAATAATAGAGCAAAAGTGGCATTCATTTTTACCGTACAGTACTTGAATCTTGGGTAGATTCCTGCTGAGGAACAGACTCCATGAGAGAAGGGTGTGTTCCTCTTTCATTCTCTTCCACTGCTTTTTTGAGCAAGTACTCTCACTTGGCCTCTTCCTTCTGTGTCCACCAGAGGGCGAGAGTTGTCTTGGAGACAACTCCCAGCCAGAAGCCTGGAGCCCCACCTTCCAACCTGGGCAGGAAGCCACTTCACTGGGCTCTAGGGCCTCCATACCCATGATGGTCTATTTATTGAGGCTAACTACTTGCCAGGCTCAGAGTATATAATAACAGCCAATGCTTCCATGATTTTTATTGTCCTGGTCGTAGTGCTCAGAGTACTAGTCCAAGTGGTACCATAGATTAAGTCTTTTAATCCTCACAGCCAACCCATGAGGTATTACCTTCATTTTACAGATAAGAAAAATGGGGCACAGAGAGGTTAAGCAACTTGCTCAAGGTCACACAGCTTGTCTGTGGTAGAACCAGGATTCAGACTTGTCTCTACCTGAGTCTGTGCCCTTGACCACTATACCACTATATATACTGCCTCTTGGCATCATCACTGACACCAAGTAAGCACTTGATAAGTGGCTGTTTTTGAAATTATCATTAACACAAATTTTCCCAACAACGTACAAGATAGATATTATTTTTATTATTTATTATTAATAATTTTATTATTATTTTAAACTGAGGCACAGAGAAGATTAAGTCACTGGCCCAAGATACCATAGTTAGAAAATTACAGATACAGGTTTCAAACTGAGCCTGTTTGCTTCTGGGACCTGAGCTTTTATAAACAGAACATACTCTCTGGGCTGCCATATCATGCCAGCTCAGTCAGCACATTTTTCTTTTTTTTCCTGAGAATTTTCCAATGGGCAGGGTTGTGGTGAGATACCTGTCATGTGCATTGATTTGTGTCCTGATTGGACAGCCATCTGGAAGTGGGTACCAAGAGCCACAGGCTGCTTAGTCATCTTCCCAGTGTCCCTCCCCCCACCCCCACCCCTGAGCATTAATCCTAAAGAGAGATTTCCCAAGAGATACAACCCAGATTCAAACTGAGCTTCGGGGCCAAGGGCCACTGGGTCCTGGGAGCGTGTGAAAACGCAAGTTTATGTGTTCACTCAGGTGTGGCCAGGCCCTGAGGAATTTGTAGAATCCATCCTTGTTGCTGCCTGGGAGGCTCCTGTTTCCACTGCCTTCCCCACCCTGCCCAGGGGGGCCCAGAACACTGCCTCTGTCTCCTTTGTGGACTTTCTCTGCCTGTCCAGCTGACTCGCACAGGAAACGATGCACTTACACTGAAGACATGCTCCAGTCACACTAAAGCCCTGTGTGATGGGGTCCAATATGAGTAGCTGTTCTTCTCATATCTGGGACGTTTACATCTGAGCCCTGTGATATCACTTCAAAGGAAGCAAGGCAGGGATTACCACCTCCTTTTATAGATTAAGAAATGAGTCCCAGGGAGGATTAATTTCTTGCCAAGGTTGCATGGTTAGTTGGTAGAAGATATGGGTCCAGAAGGTGGGTTTTTCCCCCTGCAATGCGTCAGTGGAGTGACTGGACCCCTGCGCAGCTCTAAAACCCTGGCCCACAGAGCTTCAAGGATCGCTGAGGAAGTACCTCCTCCCTGCTCTTCCCATCTGCTGTGAGCCCTGTGGGAGGAAGCTCTTCTGAAATATAGATAGGAAGATGATTGATTGATAGACAATTGATAGAATATAAGTAGAAAGATAGATGATTGATAGATGTTTGGTTGATAGAAGATTGATAGATAGTAGATAGATAATAGAATATAGATAGATGATAGACATGATTGATAGATAATGGACAGAGGATAGATGATGGATACATAGATGATAGAAAGTTGATAAATGATAGATGGTAGATTGACAGATAATAGAAAGACTATAGATAGAAAGATTATGATAGATGATAGGTAGGTAGGTAGATAGATAGATAAATAGATAAACCCTCGTTAAACCTTCCCAGCTCACTTTCTGCTACTGTAAAGCCTTTATGGAGTGCATTTTTGGCAATAACTTTCCAAATTACAAGTGCACATACCCTCTGACCCTCCCCCCCCAGTTCTGCTTCTAGGAATTTATCTTTTAAATACCCTGAAATTTGAGATGTACAATATAATTTACTTTTGCAATCGGTATTGATTGTAAAAGCAAGAGATTGGAAATACCCTAAAGGTTCATCAGTAGGGGACTGGTAAAGTAGATTGTGAACACCTATACAATGCTACCAAAAAAATCCGATATAATACACTCTCGGAGACATATTAAATAAAAAAAAATAAGATGCAAAAGAGAGTGTAGAGCATGCTACTATTTGTGGAAGTATAAATGCATATATCGTATGTGTTTAGACTATCTGGAAGGATACACAGGAAAGTGAGCTCTGCTGCCTCTAGGCAGCACTGGATGGCTGGTGGATGAGGGTGGACATAGGCGTTGCACTCTATACCCTTTGCTACCTTTTGAATACTGGAGTACATGAGTGCTTTGACAATTCAGAAGTGAAGAAGTGAACTAAGCTTCCCGCCCACCCTTTCCCACACACCTTGCAGGCAGGCTGCAGTGCCACCAGGTTGCCTGGCGACGGACAGACAAACACGGGAGAGGCATCCCTGCAGGAACCCCCCTCCTACCCTCCCATTCAAGTCATCCGGGCCCGTGTGTCTTCCAGCAGCTCTTCTGAGGTCCCCTCCATCAACTCCGACCTTGAGGTACACGTTGTTGCTTGCTGACAGGTGCATGGTTGCCCTCCTTCACCGACCCTTACTGGTGCCTCCTAAGTGCTTATGCTGTGGTTTTCAAATCTACCCACGCTAAACGCATGCATGCTAAATAATGAATAGACCTCTGCTGGCTTCTGTGTGAGGAGTTTCCCACACTGTCAGTGCTGAGAAGGGGTTTCCCCAGTCAAATTTAGTCACAGAAACACTGCATAGTGCAGCTCGGTCTCCAAGAATCACTTGCACATTCAAGTCTTACAAAAATAAAAGCATGAATAATAAACTTTGAAAAGGTCTCAATGTTTCCCAAACTGACCTGACCATGGAAGCTTTCCCCTGCACCCCAGTAGCACCAACAGCATCCTATGGTGCCATCAGGGTCATATATGGGGGTCATATGAAGTCTGACAATTAAGTTCGCAAACTTGTTGTAACGATGTTGCTAACTTTTTTTGATATCAGAGGGATTATTCATTATGAATGTGTACCAGACAAACAGTGAACCAAGTTTACTATTTGGAAGTGCTGAAAAGGCTGCGTGAAAAAGTTAGACGACCTGAACTTTTCGCCAACAATTCATGGCTCTTGCATCACGACAATGCACCAGCTCACATGGCACTGTCTATGAGGAAGTTTTTATCCAGTAAACAAATAACTGTATTGGAACATCCTCCCTATTCTCCTGTTCTGGCCCCCAATGACTTCTTTCTTTACCGGAAGATAAAGGAAATATTGAAAGGAAGACATTTTGATGACATTCAGGACATCAAGGGTAATACAATGACAGCTCTGATGGCTATTCCAGAAAAAGAGTTCCAAAATTGCTTTGAAGAGTGGACTAGGTGTCGGTGCATAGCTTCCCAAGGGGAGTACTTTGAAGGTGACTGTAGTTATATTCAGCAATGAGGTAGGTAGCAGCTTTTCTAGGATGAGTTTGCGAACTTAATTGTCCGACCTCGTACAAGTCTGGCACTTTCATAAACTTGACCCCATTTTGAGTTTTTGGATCTGTAAACAAAACATCACATTTTGCATACCGCAAATGGGTGTAACCCTCTGGTCTGAGCTGTCCTGTTACTCTCAGCCCCACAGCTGTGACTTACAGCCCTGCTTATGAGGAAGTTTCCCTTTGTGGAAAATGGAACAAGGACAGTGTAGTGGGACAGGTGCTGTCAGCAGGAGGGTGTCAACTGTATTTTGGGGGTAGAAGGACTGACTGTCTTTCATTCTGGGTTTGTGTTCTACTATGTTAAAATGCCCTTTTATGAAATGATAATAATATGTGACAATTGGTGTTGAGTTTTTTTGTTTGGTTTTAATGGCCTTATTTGGCAAAATAATCCATTAGCTGTTCTAAGTAAGTTCCCCAAATTTGTTGAACTCATAGTGAACCCTGAAATCCTAAAGACTCGTAGCCATTGATCTGTGGGATAAAGTCCAGATTCCTTAGTGTGAGGTTCCAGATCTTTTACACCTGCCCCAGCTTTGTGCCCCTCCCCTGCATCACCTAGATGTCCACCTTGGCCATGGCCTGTTTCCCCCTTCCCCAGCCTCTGGGCCTTTCTACCTGGGGGTTTCTCTGACCCAATTTCCATGTGTCAGAATCCTACCCAGATGCCACCTGCTGTGTGAAACTAACCCACCCCGCCCCCCTACACACACACACACACACACACACACACACACACACACACACGTTAAATAGCTCCTTCCCTTGAGTGCCCAGAGCATATACCTCTCTCACACAACTTCCATTGTTTGCTGTGTAGCGGATGAGCAGTATGGGCCTGTCTCCCTTGCTAAGCTGTGCAGGAGCTTTTAGATGTAGGGCTGGGGCCGCCTGCATCTTTATCCCTCAACACAGCTGGTCATTGAGAGCTGGGTTTTGAGCGAGGAATTCTGCACCAGACCGAGGACCATTTGGGGTCTGTGTATCCCAGTGTCTTCGGTGTTGTTTATTCCTCTGATCCAGTCACCCAAAACACATGGCCCCGGCAGCCTGGAGCCAGCAATCTGGGCAGAGATCTAAAGACTTAACAGGCAAAGAGCAAGCCTGACAACGAAGTGTGTGTTCAGTGAGGAGAAGGGACAGTTAAGCCAGCAAGTCAGGGAGGGTCTGGGGAAAGTGAGAGGCAACATTTCCTTTGTGGAAACAAGGGCGATTTTTGTCGCCCACCCACAATTGAGGTAAGGATTGGACAGTGACCTTGAGAAATTTGGACCCTTGTCTGTGTGACTGGCTTGGGTCATTTCTGTTTTGCACTCCTTATTCTTCCCCTACTCTATTATCTTTCTCTTTTTAGACCATGTTTTTAACTATATAAACTCCAAGGGGGCAAGGTCACACTCTTAAATTAGGCAAATGAAATGAATGCTTTTGCTCCTATAAGAAATATATTTAAGAAGTGCAGCTGCCCCAGCCCACACCCCCATGAACCCAGCAGAATGCTTTTGTTTCACGCCCTAAAGCATACATACACTATGAATGACAAAGCCACTGAGCCCTGTAAAGAAATACCTTAGAATTTCACTAAACATGTTACACTCACAGGTCAAACGGGGTGTAAAGCTCCCAATACAAAAGTTTAATACGTATATGAGCAGGACACAGTAAAGCTTCTCTTAGGTATGCGATCCATTGGGCCACTGGTAATCTCTATTTTCTGTTCTTAAAAGTAATACGTATTTATTATAGAAAATTTGGAAAATGTAAAGAAGAAAATTAAAATTAGCCCACAGGCCAACCAACCAACGACTGCCTCTGGATGGAGGATTGTACAGCCTTGACAGCCTCCCCTGTTTTTTCAGAGCAATATTTCTTTTTTTTTTTTTTTTTTTTTTTTTTTAA